GTGTGTGTGTGTTTTAACTCTCTGATGCTGAATCAATGCAACACCTCAGGGATGGCACAGTGGAGGGGGGCTATGGGGGGTTGGGGCCTATGGGGGGTTGGGGGGGGGGGTCGTGTGCCAGGCTCGTTCTTCACACTTCTTCTTTCTGGGGTTTTTTTTTCTTCTTTTTTTAAGGAAGAGGTGCGGGCGAAATAATACCCGCTCGCTCATTAGGAGCGCGCGCGGGGCCGCTGGTTAATTCATCCCGCGCTGTCACGGGCTCGTGTACGACCCGCGGGTAACACATAAATCACGCGCGGAACCAAGCGGCCGAGCGGCGAGCCTCGCGCCCCAAACGCCGCTGATTTATCAACCAAATTACTGCGAGTTCCTGCTCGGCCCCAACACTTTGCTGAGGAAATCACCGACTAACCCCTGAGCGTAACGATTTATTGAAACCCCCCCATCCCCCCACCCCGTCTCCACCTCCACCTCCATCTCTCCCCGCCCGGCCCGCTGTCTGTGTCACTCCACTCATCTCTCACTGACTTAATTAAAATCTATCCCGTTGGCTCGCTGGCATTTATTACAACCACTGGGCTGATGAAACAAAGAACACGACCCGACCAGAGCTGCTTTGTGCCCATAAACGTTCATTACGCGCCACGCGCACGCGCACACACACACACACACACACACACACACACACACACACACACACACTCGCACACACTGACTGTACTTATTGGCATTTAAACAAGATGGGCTTATTGGGGGGTGTGAGTCTCATCTGGAAATCCCACAGGGGTCTTTTTTCAGATATTGAAAAACAAAGTATTAAGTGCAAAATACCTCCTGTGTTTGTTTTGGTTTTCATTTTTACCTCCTCATTGTTTGAGGGTTTTAAAGCTTTAAGTGTAGAATTAATAATTATAATGTCTAAATGAAAAATATTTAACCGTTTTTTCTGACCTTTTTAAGATGAATAAAATGTGTTTTTCCTTAAATTAGTGAACGCTTCCTTTACATGACCATTAGGCATTGTTGATAGACCCAATAAGCTGAGGTTTCATGTTTATATGCATGAGAAAATGTATAATTTTTCCATTTACTTTCTAAAGCTTTTGATCAGTCAAACGTTGAATGTGTTTTTACGTTTTTTTATGTGCAACTCCTTGTGTTACTGTTATAAAACTCATAGAAATGAATCTACAGAGTGATTTGGGGATTTCGGGGGGTATGCACTGCTTTATAATATATAAATCACTTTTGAAAACACAGGACGAGTCTCTGAGAACCTAAACAGCAGCAAGGAGGCTGCAGCACCACATTGGACTTGTCATCAAGGGCATAACACGTGTTTGTAAAGAGTGTCCAAAAGATCTCACAATGCATGTAAGAAAAGAATTCGGATGACAGGCTATTAGAAACTTCTCCAACACTTCTAATTAACTTGGATTCCGTAACTAAAGATAATCTAAATACATCAGAAATAATTAATAGTACATTACATGTCATTTAGCTGACACTTTTATCCAAAGATAATATATATATATACGGGTAATTATCTATGGGTTCATTTTAAGAGGCCTTCGGTTTGTAAATGCATTTAATTAATTTTCAAGTGATTTGAAATCATTTTTAAGGGGGGGGTAGTTTTTGTTCTGTGACCTTTGAAACAATAAAATGAAACAAATCTAAACTTTAGGACTTTTTACAGAGTTTATATTCATATATTTCACGGCCTTCATCAGGCATCAGTATGACGCAAGTACTTCCTATACAGCACATTCAAAAAAGTGCTGTAAACTGTGTCAGTGGACTTTTATGTTTGTTGTTTAATGGATCATGTGCACGTTTCACTGAGTAAGACGGAGTTGAGCCCTATTGCCTCTGTAATGATACCACGCACACCAACGCTTTGACCTAGTAACCGAACCTTCTCCATGGATCTCCTGTGGCCTCTCGGAGGCCCCTGATGCTGCTGCTGGCTGAGGGCCCGTCCAACAGAGACTTAACCTGATGACGAACGCTGCTAATTTACTCCGCGCGAGCGAGGTGATGGAGAGTCAAAGAGGAGGAGGAGGCGGAGGAGGGTGAGGGTTTGGGGGGTGTAGGGAAGGGGGGGGGGGGGCGTAATGGGTTCTTGAAATGACGTAATTAATCGTGCAAATTTGTTTCTATTAAATAAAAACAACACGTATTGAAGAACTCAATTAGCGTTAATTAATCCCGCTTTGAAACCGAGTGAGATTGGAGGACTTTCTCTTCTTCTCTGACATTATTTCTGGGATTCCTTGTAACCTCGGGGCTTTTTTCTTCTTCATTTTCCCCTCACGGAGGTTACAGGCAGCCATTGGACCCCCCCCCCCCCCCCCCCCCAACACTCCCTCCCCCCCTCCATTGCCTCCTCTTGAGAATTGGAAATGGGGGGATGGAGACGGGGAATGTGAAGGTGCTAAATTAGCTGGCTGATCCGCGCTCATTGCTGCATACACATCCCCCTATTACCGCGCCCCGGCGCCGCGCTTAGTATTCCGCGCATGGCGGCCGCGTCTAGATAGCAGATTTATCAAATGGGAAAATGAATGTATGATGATCAGTTAAATTGAAAATCAGCGCCCGGGTGACAGGCCGCACTGACACCTCGGTAATTAGAAAGAAAAATGATGGCGTCCGAATGCATAATAGAGCAAAAACAATTTACGCCCCCCCCCCCTTCTCCATGCCGTAATGATCGCGCGCTCAAATTGAAAATTTCTCTCGGTTTGAAATTGAATTCATAAAGTGTGATGCATGAGCGGCGCGGACACAGCGGGGGGGGGGACACAGCGGGGGGGGGGGGGGGGGGGGGGGCTGTCCGGTCCGGAGCGCGGCTTGATCGATTGGTCGTTTGCCATCAAAATCTCTCGCCTCCCCCCCTCCCCCCTCAAGTAAATGTTATAGCCCACAGATGTATAGGCGGATAGAGGACGGTTATGCTCTGATTGATCCTGTTTCTGCATTCAGATAAGGAGACTGACAGGAAGCAAGACTCGCTCTTGTTTTGAAATGCTTGGATGTCTTTTTTTTCCCCCCCAAAGCGTTTGATCAAAGCCGTTTCTGCAACATGAACATGATCTGTTAAGAGTTCTTAAAAGTCATTTCCGACAGATGTTTTGCTCGCCTCTGATTGTGAGGCCTTTAATGAGAGCCAGAGGGCCACGTGGACATACAGATGTGGTGAGAGACTCAGATGAGCGGAAGGATGATGTGCCTCTGATGATGTGGAGGACCAGTATTTGTCCAAAGTAAAACCACAACCCTATTTTTCAGTTCATTTATTTAAAAAAAGAGCCTATAATCTCCAACAAAGGCTCATTTTATGGACTCGTTGTGTATTCACACGTGCACTCAGAGCACTAACACACTCTGAAGGCCTCGCTGAAGACCTATATTTTCCAATTAATCACACTCTTGAAGCCAGTTTATGATAAAAGCGTTTCCCCCCCTCCCAAAAAAAAGAGAATAAAAGTAGAAATTTCACACCGCGCACGCGGAATGAACGATTTAATGTGATTGTTTCGGTCGAAAGGGACGTTTCCCGAGGCCTTGTGGGGAAATAATGTCCTTATGAATTAAATAATAGGGTTATTACTTTCATTGATTTTAGCTGTCTGGGAATTTAGTGTTCAGCTCCGGTCTTAACCCGTCTTCCTCCTGCTGTTTTTCACTCCCTCCCCTCTCTCTCCCTCTCTCCCTCCTCTTCCTCTTGTCTAATTATTTTCCCATAAGCCCCCGCTTCCTACCGCGCAAATAGCAGAGTCACCGAGCGAAAATTATGTAAATATTATTAAAGGGACTCAGGCACGGAAATTCATTTTAGGTCGGCGAGGCAAAGTAAAGCTCTGTCCCTCGGATCCCCCTCAATTTATTTGCAAATAAAGGCGAAGTGACCGGGAGGGATCAGGGATATTTAGCCGGGCTGTCAACGCGCACCGGCTCCACAGAATTAATGCTTTTAATAATTGGGATTTCAGTTCCCAGGGAATTGGTGGCGTTTACACTTTATAAGCTAAAACCCCCCCCCCCCCCCACGTGCAGAAAAACCCGTCTTCTCTTCTGTCCCAAAACATCTTTTAATTCAGCCATTCTTCACTTTCTTACTTTTTCTTCCCCAACAGTTATTAATGCAAGCGTAGCGACCCCCCCCCCCCCCCCCCTCTCCCCCTTTCCCTCTCCTATATCTTTACCCCCCCTCCCGCCCCTCGAGGGACTCGCGGTCCTATTAGAACAAATGACGAGGGGCCCGGGCGCTTTTGTGCAAAGGCGCAGGCAGGCGGGCGCGCGCCTGTCCTATTATGTGCGACACATGATCAATAGCGCGATAACGCAGCAACATCAATATAAGCGACAGAACAATGAGGGATATCATCGAACATCTATCTTAATACAGCCGACTACAAGGGGCCGCCTGACAACCGCGGCAGCAGCTCATGAAAATTCCGCCCCACGAATCTGCCGCCATCTCCGCCTCCTCGCGCTCAATAGACTAAGGCGCGCGCGCGCGCGCGCGCGGTGCAGCTGGCGCGGCTATTATTTTCCCATTTCAATTTGACACCCCTGCCTTTCATGCTAATTCTATTATTGTAGGAAGTTTATGTGGTTCCGTATCACTAGAAATCGGTAATGTCTAATAACCCTTTGGGCTGGAAGGAGGGGGGGGGAAAAGGACCCGCGGCAGCCAGTGGGAAAATAATTACTTTCATATCAAAACTCAGCAGGAGGCGCGGGGTCCTATGGCCCGCGGCCACTAACCTCATTCCAGCTCGGCCTTTCAAATGAATAAATTTGTTAAAGCAATAAATACAAACAGCCAGGCGGACTTGAGGCCCAGCTCGGCTCACTACACAGAGGGAGGAAAGGGGGATTTATCTGCTGTACACACGACAAAACTCCAGCCGCCATGATCCAAGGTTGTGCCACACAGCAACACCCCCCCACCCCCCCACCCTCAACACAGGGCCCTACAAAGACCGGGATTTCAATTTAAACATTAACTTTATTTATCAAAAGGTTCACATATAAATATCATTTTCTCGTTTATACAATATCTGAGGCTCTTCGTTGTGTGTGACGTGATAATTGCGGCCGAGTTTGTTTGTTACAAGTTGGTCACCAAAAGCGTCGACAAGAACCTGCTTCTAAAGGGTTTCAGGCCCTGAAGCCCGAATGTGAGGACAGCCTCACATTTCTTTTTTTTTTGGGGGGGTGGGGGAGGGCATCTGGATTGATCACACATCATGATTAAAAAATAGATGAGAATTAAAGTCCCCTGATTCCTGATATGTTTTTTTTTGAGTGTCTCAGCAGAGCTTTGGGAATGTTTGAATAGTCTGAGCGGCGTTCCTGGTGCTTTGTTTGTGTTTGCTCCTCGCGGGTGTTAGTCCATATCGACATCTTCTCCATCTGTTCCGGGTGTTTCTTGACAGTCTGTGTTTGCCTCGAGACACTCGGAGGGGCACGGAGACGCTCGCTCCTCTCTCGCGCCCGAGCCCGCCTCGTCGCCGGACGGCGCCGAGCTCCGCCCGCTCGCCGGTGGGGAGCCAGCGAGCCCGCCGCTGCCGCAGTCGCCGGCGCACTCCTCCGCGTCCGTGTCCCCGTCCGCTCTATTGCTAATGTGATGGCGCTGGCGCTCGGCGAGGTCCGAGGGCTTGGCCGCGAAGCCGGAGAGGTCGCAGGGCGCCAGGCTCCCGCCGCTCGCCGCGCACCTCTGTCCGAGGCCGAGCCTGTGCGCGCCGTCCTGGCAGGGCGAGGCCTTCAGGGCCGCTTGGGGCACGAGGAAGCCCAGGGGCTGATGGGTAATCGGGTAAAGCAAGAAGTGACCTTTGCCCAGCAGTGTCCTCTGACTGGGCAACGACGGGAAGTCCAGCAGAGGCTTCCGTCGAGGCGCGGCGTCGGCGAGGAGGCTCTCCACGCTGAAGGGGTTGCGTTTCTGCAGGGCGGAGGACCGCGGGCCCCCGGGGCTGCCCGGAGAGGCCGGCTCCGCCTCTCCCGCCGTTCTTTGGTTTTGCTGGCTCTGCAGCGGGCCGAAGTCGTGCCGCGTTTGGTCGCAGCCGGCTTCGGGTGGTTGGTGCGACCCGGCGCCCTTCGTCGCCGGCAGCTCCACGTGAATGGCGGACGGCTGCTGCTCGCTGTCGGTGAACTGCGAGACGCCGCTGTCGCTCTCGGAGCCGCCGGGCGTGTGGAAGCTGTCGCCGGCGAGGAGCCTGTTCTGCGACTTCAGCAGCTTCCGCTCCTGCTTCCGCTTCTTCTTCTCGGCCCGCTCGCGGTCGCGCCGCGCGATCTCCTCGGGGTCCATGGGCTCGCCGCTGCACGTGGTCGGGTGAGAGTTGTGGGCAGGCCGGCCCGGGCCCTTCTTGGTGTTCTCCTTCTTTCGCCACTTTGCACGGCGGTTTTGGAACCAAACCTGAGCAGAGGAAACACACACAAAAATGAGGCGCACACACACACACAAACACACATACATATAGCACATGAACACACAAAAACAAAACAGAGAAACATGCAGCACACACACACACACACACGCAAACCTGCAGCACAGGTACACAAAAGTGTAATATTGGCACGTGAGGTGACTTTAGTTTGAAAGTTTCTTTCATGTCACGATGTGTCAAAACACCATTTATGTGTTTATTTATTGATTCAGGTTATTCCTGTCAATGTCGTTTTCTGGTAGAAATGCTGAATATGAGTTGATGGATGAATTATTTCATCACCAGATAATTACATGTCAACTATTTTAACAAGATATTCAACTATTTTAACAAGATATTCATAATTTAAGTATTTAAAATGCCAGATATTTACTCATTTCAACTTCATGGGGATTCTCTGCTTTTTTAAAATTGTTATTTGTGTATTTTCTTTAATTAAACATCTTTGGCTATTGGACGGTTGGTTGGACAAGAAGAAGCTAATTGAAAACATAACCTCAAGCTCTGTGTTTCTTTTTACAGACTAAGTGAACAGACAACAAACACAGAGTCGAATGGGCCGACGGTGATTAATCAGGCTTTGTTATGTTCACTAAAACAGCGTGCTCATTTTATTCGAGGCTGGACTTGCAAACATCTTCCAAACTACTAATGTGAACACAATGTGATGCAACACAGTCCAACACTCTCCCCGTGAGACGCTTCCTGCAGGACGCCAGCGACGACTTTCTGCAGCTGCATCACAAACCTCGTTCATTTACAGTTTAAGGCTTTTTAGGGTTTTTTCATAGGAACAAATCCCCACCAAAAGAAATGTTGTGAAAGGGCTGCACGCGGAATGCCCCTTCTGGTGTGTGTGTGTGCGTGCGTGCATGTGTGCACGCGCGCGCGTGTGCGTGTGTGTGTGTGTTTAGACAACAGCAGACATCACACCTGCCATAGCGGCGGCGATAAATCAGTGTCGGAGCCGTTATCAGATGCTAAGGACTAAACCAGATTGCCTACAAATCCAAACAAATTCCCCAAAAGCTGTGAGACAAGTGAGATCAGCGTCGCCTCCGCGCGGCCTCAAGAGGTCCGAGGAGCCCGCCGCTCCTCAGAGGACCTCAGAGGTCCGAGGAGCCCGCCGCTCCTCAGAGGACCTCAGAGGTCCGAGGAGCCCGCCGCTCCTCAGAGGACCTCAGAGGTCCGAGGAGCCCGCCGGTCCGCCGCCGGCAGACGCACAGATGTGCTGCTGTTAATCACCAGAGAGTCTGGTTAACGGGGAACGGCGCCAATTGTACCTAATTGTGCCGTGGCGGAAAAGCGGCCGGTAATCCGGTCTACGTGTTCCCTCCGCACGCGGTCCCCCCCTCCGCGGCCGGGCCTCGGGGCGCGCTCGGGGCCGCGTGTTCGCCGCTGATAAGAGCGCGGGAGTTCAGCGCGCGGAAGGGGAAAAAGATCCCGCGGAACGTTGCATAATAAGGACGAGGCCGCCGACATCATGCGCGACAGCGGCGCTTCTTATGAATTGTTAATGTTGGTTCTATCTTTCCCCCGCAAAACTGGTGATAAAGGAGCGCTAAGCAGCTTGGGGGGGGGAACAATAATGTGAGGGTTAGGAGCAAAATCCCCCCCCCTCAAAAAAAAAGCCCCAACATGCAGCCACGGAGATCTCCGCGTCGGTGCCGATCAGACCGAATGAATACATGAATATACGCTGAATGACATAGAATATCATACACGGATACACCTTCTAATAGGCTAAACCTATACGCCTTTGTTGTTATTATCATTATTATGCTATGCTATGCTATTGTTGTCCGATTAAATAAGCATATTCCATCATTCAATGATGGAAGCATCACCTTTAACAAAATGATGCATTTGGATCTTTTAAAACAAAAATGATCACACGGTCTTTGATTTTGTTCATTTGTGATAATATTGTTTTTAGCTTTTTAGCATGACTAAAAACAAAAATAATAATATTGTAATAAAATGAAGATAGATGTTTTGTATTTATGTATATTAATTATATTTGAAATGATTCTGTGGTGCTAAACCCCTACAATATTGAAGGTTAATCTCAAACATTGTACTATAAGTGTGTGTAATTTGTCAATATATATATAAATATATATTTATAAATAATAATAGTAATGAAAGAAAAGGTGATATCAGTAACAATAATTATAACACAAATAATTGAAAAGGAAATAATTGATGTAGTGAATTATGTTAAACCTTAAATTGAATAACCTAAACTTGTATAAAAAATTGGCAATTAATCAAGTGTTGAGCTATATATTTTTATCTACCCCTGAATGTAAAGAAAGAATAGTAATTACTATTTTCACCCCCTGGTTTGCTCAGTAAATAGCCTTGTTTTATTAACGCATAAATCAATAGGTTGCCTCCATGCATAATTCAAAAGAGACCCTTTATTGATGCTTTGGTAATTGACAAATAGCTATCTGCGTGTGGGACAGGCCTCCACAAAACAAACAGCTGACGTCTTGTTTTAATAACGTTTCGCAGATTTCTACATGGAGTAACACATTAAATCTACTAAAACTATCCGGAGAATAACTCAAACCATCTGTTTGCCCCCCATTCAACTAATCCGACCACCCCAACACATTGCACCCATTTCTCCGTGTCTGTACCTGAACCCTGGATTCCACGAGGTCGAGCCTGAGCGCGAGCGCCTCCCGCATGAACACATCTGGATAGTGACTCTCGTTGAAAGCCTTCTCGAGCTCCTCCAGCTGCCACCCGGTGAAATTCGTCCGCGTCCGTCTCCTTTTACAACCGGGACTGTCCTTATCCGGGTCCCCCGAATCTGCAGGGGTCGACCAGTGTGTGTTTGTGTGTTTAGGAGTGTGTGTGTGTGTGTGTGTGTGAGGGAGAGAGAGAGAGAGAGAGAGGTGGGAGAGTGAGCGAGAGGACTGTCATAGAAGCTTCGGTTTATTGTGTGTCCGTGTGGCCGCTGTCAACTCTTCTCTATAAACATGGTGATGAACTCTGACAAAGTCACGTCACACACCGCGTGGGCCTCAGAGAAACACACCGTCCGGCTCGTTTTAGAGATTTAAAAATGATTCCCTACAATCTAGTTATTACCATGAATCCGCAGCCAATATCAATACCACCACGTTATGTTTACCTCTAATTAACTTATTTTTTTAAATAATTTCCTAAAAAATTAACTTTTTTTCAAATGCTTTTTTTTTTTTTTTTAAGTTGACCGAGATCCCAAACTTTTAAGCAACGTGGTTTTTCTCTGCACACCAACTTTCTAGCATTAAAATCGGCCCCCCGGAGACCAAGCACGCACCTTTAATGTCCCCTAAAAGTCCACCAATATCGTGCAAATCACGCCACTCGGATCCATCGCCGAGTTGTTTCCCGCGCGAGCCGCGAGACCGAAACGAAGCGGGCCTACCTGAGAGTTTGAACTGGCTGTCGGGCGACAGCAGCGCGCTGGAGCCGACCACCGAGGCCGAGCACGAGCCGTTAAGTAATCCGTCTATGGAGAAGGGAGCGGCGGCCGACTGCAGCTGGTGTCCGTTGGCCAGCTCGTAGAGGTGCTGGTGGTGGTGGTGGTGGTGGTGGTGTGGAGGACCGAGCGCGTACGGGAAGCCCACCAGCCCGCCCAAGGAGCCCGCGAACTGGGCGTGAGGATGCTCGAGGACCCTGCTGTCCATGGTCGCCCGGGCTGCGTGAAGATGCGGAGGGAGCAGTGTGGCTGAACATGCAGTCGGGGGAGAGAGGAAAAAAAAAAAAAAAAAAGAAAGTCACGGAGAGGAGGAAGAAGCTGCGAGGAGGAGCGTGGGGGAGGAGCGGGGGTGGTGAGGAGGGTGTGTGTGTGTGGAGGAGACCCAGGCTGCACACGGACCCGTCTCCCGCGGCTGTGCTGACTGGGGAGGAGCGGAGGAGGAGCAGCAGCAGCAGCAGCCGGCTTCACGTCAGCGGCCCGGCCGAGATGTCCACGCGCTGCTCCCGTGCACCGCGAGCGCCTCATTAGGGCTCCTCCGTCTGCTCCCGGGGACCAATGAGAAGCGCTAATCGCCCCGTGACGTCACAGGCGCGGCTAATGGAGTAAGGGAAGAGAGAGAGAGGGATGGAGAGAGAGACGGGGAGGGAGGCAGAGCGTTTTTCTTTTCTTTTTTCTGCCGCGATCGATCGATAATTACACCTGGCGCGCTCCTGTAATTCAGCGCTGTCAAAACAACGAGGACGAGCCTACGCCGGCGCGCGGAAACAGCCACGTGATGATTCCCCGCTGCGTTAATTTCTCAGGAAATACAAACCGACGTTTGCGTCAATGTATCACGAGAAAACCACGATGTTTTTTTGTTTTTTTTTGTTCAACTTTTAGGAAACGAGGCATCTTCCCTTTGCTGCTGCGCGCGCGCCTCTCTTCTCGCTCGTGCGCGCGCGCGTTTGTATCCCGTGTTCGCGTGTGCACGTGTTTAACAGGGGCGTTCGGGGGCAGATTGATCAATAAACCGCGACTTCTTTATCACCCTCCACCCCCCAAATCACCAATTTTCCCGAGCTGTCACATTCGCATTTTAAAAACTACAAGCCTCACTCCATCTCCCAGCCCCCCACCACACACACACACACGCACACACACACACACACACACACACACAAACTCCACATCATTATCTCGATTTTTCACCCGAACAGCTTACACCGATGTGTAGTTGTAAACGACGGGTTAAAGTGGGTTGTAGCCTCCGCGACGCGGCTCCAGGAATCCAATATCCGCGCATCGCAGCTGCTCATCGGATCCGCTGTGAAGCTGCGAGACGTTACACGACCAGGCTCGTCTTGTGTTTGTTTTTTTTCTAGTCTGTTGTTTGAGTATGAACGCTGCATTTAGCATTAATGAAATAAAATGATAGCACAAAGTAAAACGAGGCCTAGAATTATTTCAGGTTTAGCTTAATGTTGATAATACACCACAAAAAAAATAGAAAAAAAGAAAGTGACAAACAATATCAATATGAACTTTAAGGCAGTTACAATATAGGTGTAAATATGTGCATTTTCTTTGGAATTCATTCCATTATAATCTTACTACTATAACAATACGCTATGAAAAACAAACAAGGTAACAAATGAATACATTCTATCTGGTTGGTATATCATGTATGCAGTGTTGATTGGGAATATGTACATTTATGTTGTCAAATATTCTTAGAGGGGAAGAGGAATTTAAAAAATCTCAGATTGGAAGACTCCCGAGATGGAAACAATTCAAATCAACAATTCTAAACAAAGCGTCAGTGGGAAAAGTGCATCACCGCCTGTCGGGAATGACGTCTACGGCCGATGGGGTGGAGAAGTGGACGTGGTCGGGACGTCCCCCCCACCATTGGTTTGTGGGCTGACATTTAAAGCCGTGAGCGATTTTTGCCATCACCATCTTGGATTACCGCTGTCGCCATGTTGGTTTTAACGTAATGCTGGCTTGTCAATTGAATTCATTCATGAAAACATGAGATCAGGACATTTGATCTCATGCTTGTGCTCCTGTTTGGCCTCTTCCGTCTTCCGATGATGCTATAAAACCACAGTGGACACAGAGCCTTAAACAGCGTGGGCTCTCAGTGGTTGGCGGATCGCTGAAGGAAGTCACTAAATTGGGTCCCGGTGCTACGACTGTTATTGCTTCACGTGCACAGTTTAAGAAACCTTTAAGCCCACCATCGTCAACATCGACTTAATTGACGTACAGGCCTTCGCCATCTCACCTTTGTGCCGGCATCCTGCGGTTACCCATAACCCCCTTCTTCTCTGTGTAGGTCTGCACGTGTATCTTCAGAGACACAGAATTCTAGCATAAGAGCAGCATATTAGCCTGTAGTTACAATGGTGCTTTGAGCTAAGCAACCAGTTGGGCTATTATGCTAATGCTAATATAATTTGTATAGAGATTATGATTTACCATGTTGGTTTAGTTTGTCTGCTAAAAACAAACAAAAAAAGGCATTCATTTTAAAGGTATTTGGAGTCCAACCACATTATAGCGCAGAATTACAGGGGAGGGGTTATTTATCATGAATATCAATTCAATCCATCCAACAGTTGTTGAGACTTTACACTCAAAACCACAATAGTCCTTCTCACACTGGTGTCGAAGGAAAAGCATGGAACCACCAAAGTTATGAGGATGTATCCTCTGGAGGCCATGAATGTCTATGAAACGTTGAGGGGCACAGCTGGCGTGACTTAAAACTATTTAAATGATTAATAATGTATAATAGTCAAACAGAGCGAAATGTTGCTGCTTTAAAAATACAATTAAAAAAATAAAAAAGCTTTTCACCTTCTTTGGTGACTTTCAAAATCACCAAGAAAAGTTTTTTTTGAGCGATATATTGTTTCTGTCTTGAGGTAAAACAGAAAAAAGAAAGAGAAGGTTATTGCAATTACAGTTTCCAGTTATCGCGTTGAGTCGAGGGTCTCGGCTAATGGCGGGGGGAAATGATGCTCGATTGAGTGTGCTTTGGAAAACCAAAGGTTCGGAAATTTACAATCATGATGCAGGCAGGAGCAACTGTGTCCAGGTGGACATCTTTGGAAGGAGAGAGAGAAGGGGGGGGGGGGGNGCTCCACTTTGTCCTCGGGATACTCGGGTGGGGTTAAGAAATGGACGGGTCATTATTATAGGGACATTATTTGAGGTATCGCGGTGACCCGAGACTCCGCCCACGAGTCAATGTTGACATTGTATGTTTCTGCAAACCTCTTTTTTAAAATTTTGATTTAGTTGTTTGTCCTCGACTTCATCCTCTGTAGTGAAAACCTTACACACAACCTTGAGAGGTGTTCAACCTCTGCAGCTTTGTACTGCGTATTGATGGTCATTTTGAAAGAAACTAAGATGGGAACTTTTACGTGACGCACCAATGAACCTCCACGCTGGTCCAGACTTGAATACAACTGTTAGTTTCATTACCATGACTGTTCTACAAATCTTTCTCTAGTCCCGTATGCTTTACATTTTGGTATCACCATGCATGTTGCTACGTAATTAGTCCTGATATCTAACTTTAGTGATCTGTGATCTTTCCATTTAAGCGTCACCATCAAGCCCAAGAAAAAAAGTTGTCCAAGAAAAACACCTGCAACTCAGCAGGAAAGCAAATTGTACCGCTTGTTCACGTTGATACAATGTTGAATGTTTACAATAAACTCGCACAGAAATAAAATAAAATTGGCACCATGTAGGTTTTGTAGAAGAAAGAAAATGTCTACGAACTCCCAATATGCCTCTCGAGAGGAGAAATCAAGCCATATTTATTTTTTAATTAGCTAACTAAGGTGAAGCAGCGGAGAGTTAATTACTCAATTACTGCGTACAAGTTCATTTTTAACTATTTGAAATGAGGTCAGTCATTATTTAGACGATTGGCCGATAATTAAGAGTCTAATCTGAATTAATTGTTGGGAGACGTCAGTCTGCTTTGTGCAGTCTGAGACCAGGAGATGATGCCATTCCAATTAAAAGTGAAGGGGTTTAATGTATTGATGTTTAGTTTTTTCCCCCACAAATCTCTTTCTTTACCTAATGGCAGCTTTGATAATTTAGAGAAGGAGAGAACTCATTTCCACGCGAGTGTTTTCAGCTGCTTCTCTAAACGCAATTATAAACTTTCCCTCACTCACTAATAAGTGTAATTGTGCCTCGACAGGACATTAATTAACAAATTTATTTGTGATTAAATTACCTATTTTTTAGATGTATGTTTGTAAATCTATGTTTATAGATATACATGAACTTGAAGTTTCCCCTGATATCCTGTGTTTAAACGTGAATTTACATTTTCCACAAAAAACAAGTTAAGTCTGGTGTCATAATTGAAATTCAATTAAAAGTCATATTGCACCTTTTCTTCAAACATGTTTAATACACCAAAGGATACTCGAAAGAGTCCACAATGCCATTTTAATAGTTATCGGCGAGTCCCTTTCTTATGCCCACCCCCACCGGCCCCCCTCTCCCCCCCTGGCTTCACTGGGCTGTCTTGGCACAAGGCACACGGAAATAGACCTAATTAACCCCCCCCCTCCCCCCCCCCCCACAGGGAAATCCACTATGCAAATTAACATTTTCAAAATACAGTAATGATATCATTTGAGAAATGGTGATGCCAATTTTTCACGCACTGGCTCTAAGTATTTGAATATACATTTTAGCAGCACAACCAATACTGTTCTCCTCATCCTCTGGGAAGTGTGTGTGTGTGTGCGCATGTGTGTGTGTGTGTGTGTGTGTGTGTGTGTGTGGGGGGGTTAAAACAAATGCTCAGTTCTGATGTGCACGGAGGAAGAATGGATCCGCCTCTTCGGCCACTGGCTGGCAACCGGAGCCCAACAAAACCATCTGCCGGGGGTGAAGTGGTGGAGGGCTGGATGGAAGGAGGAGGAGAAAGACCCCCCCCTCCCCCCCTCCCCCCCTTCCCTCCCCCTGAAACCTCCCTCTCCAACCCCCCCAAAACCAAAGAGCTCAGCTTAAAGCCGCTCTGTAAACGAGGAAAGATGTTTTAATTAGGAAGCAAGTTCACGCGCATCCCATTTAAACAGCTTTAATGAACAGCTCAGCCCGAGTGGCCGGGAATGAAAGTACCGATGCTGGTTTGGGCTTTTTAACCTTCCCCGTGTAGCCTCACTCATATTTTACATTTATACCAGTTGTTTCCATGTAGTGTGTCCACATAAATCTAGTTTGTTACAAAAACGACCCCGAATATTTATCCAGAAAAGCCAATAACAACCAGATATATAGCGAGGAAATCGATCATACGTTCATCGTGTAGTCTGTAGTTAGTGGTAATCTATAAAAAAAATCCTCAATGCTCCTACAACACACTCTGTGACCCGTCACATAATGGGTTCACGAGTCACAGCTTTGGATAAGAAAACGTAAAGTCTTCAAAGTTACGTGGATCAGTTTTCAGGACACCTTTCATAAGCCGCGTTGGCGGTTTGATCATCGTTTTTCCATAATTTAACAAGACTATCAAAGTGCTTTAATGGCAAAAGGTTAGCAGCACATATCGCTAATCCTCATACCAACTCTGTAAATGTTTTATTAAAGAGCACAATCCATATCCAGTGTTCATGCAAACAGACATCATCACATGTACGGTGTTAAATCACTGCGATATTTGATGTTTTAGGGAGATTGTTTGAGTCACGTCGTAACCTTCGAGCCCTCGTGAATCCCTGCACGAGTAGATAAAACAACCACAGACAAGCGGAAAAGCTTTTCATCTCCACGATGTCCTTCTTATTCTACGTTACTTTAAATGTTCCATATAGAAGCTCAGGGGACTTAAAGCCTGAAGGTTATTCTTAAATCATTTATTGTATGAACTGTGATGCTATGAGAACCCTTTTCAGGCCTGGTCAAGTTTCACGAATTGTGATCACATGAAGTTCCATTCTTTGTGTCGAAACAATGTCGCCACACATCGCAGCAATACATAAATATTACAGTACTTTAATCAGTGGGCCACAGATTTAATCCCCGTCGCTTTGTGTGCAAGAGTCACATATTTAAACGTACATTCTTTGCACTTGCCAACAGGGCCCTTCCTCTTTTACTCCAAATACGGTTCTCTTTCTCAGTCAAACAACCGCGTCTTTTTCCGTTCCGTGGCAGCACGAGGTCGATGGCAGCACGAGGTCGATGGCACGCGGCCAAAATGACGGGCGGTTTGTGCAATTAATGCTCAAAGATGTCAGCCAGTGAGTGAAAACCTTTCAGAGGACCTGCCAGTCCACAAAGCGCCGCCTTATGATACCTTCTGGAACATCCCGTCCTGGCATATGCCTAATTGTTTACTACCGCTTGTTTACATAAATACAAAATGTTGTGGGGGGGTGGGGCGGGAGAGGAGAGGCGCTACACTATAAGACAGAGCTGGAGAATTAATAACAATTTGTGGCAGATAATTACTTATCAATTAAAGCTCCTATCCCGGCTAATTAGGCAACGTTCATTAAATTCAGCCAATTTAAACCTTAATCAAAGTTAGCAGGGCCTGACAGCTGAGCGAGGATCAGTGGAGGAGCGCCCCCCTGTGGAGGACGCCCCCCCCCCCCCCCCCCCTCTGGGTGGAGAGAGCGGGGCGCGTTTTAACTTTTTTTTTGGGGACGCTCCAATTGGGCAAAAAAAAAAGATTTTTTCCCCCTTTTAGATTTCCCACACAACTTTAAGAAAAAACATATGGGAGACAACTTTGTTCTATAATTAAAAATGTTGTTGTTATTAATGCTATAATTACATGAAGTAGATCATTTACTGGGTGTAGAAGTTCTCCTACTACAAAGTACACCGACGGAGCAATATTAGTGTCATTACTTTGTTGGACTAATGTGCAAGCAGATATGAAGTTACTAAACCTGCTAAATAATTGCAGAAGAGTAAAAAATAGATGGTTATTTCTCTTTAGTGGTTAAAGCTATTGGACGTACTAAAACGAACCTTTACCTGCTGTAATGAGGTCTCAGTCCTCCTAACATCTGGAACATGTGTACAGCATTTCTGCGTTACAACACGGACGTGCTTTTGGGGCGGAGATATTTGGCTCCTTATAACCATATTTAAGCTTTAATTTATCCGCTGAAATAATGAAGTTTTGGAGCTTTTGATCCAGACGGGGCCCAAAGGTCGGGTGATAAAGTCGGACCTAATGAACGTTATCAGCGGACGATTTGATTTGGTAATGCACACCTTGTGCAATTACCTGCAGATCCACCGATATGTAAAACATTAAAGTTACTCTACAGGACAAAAAGACATTAAAACCATCACCAGGAGCAGGAAGTGAACTACAGGTCACTTTGGCCGGTGAGGTCACAGGCCTCAAATTCCAATTATTTTTGTGAGTAGATTCATCCTATAAAATAACCAAAAACAAGTCGTCATGGCAACTTAGTTTTATAGTCCAGCCTATAACTCATTTTAGTGAGTAGTTCTACTGGAGTACGATGTTTAATTGACTTGGAATAGTGTAAGAAGTATTAGAACTAGGTTAACGTATGTAAAACTACTCTGTTACAAGAAAAGCTGGTTCAGCAGCAAATAAAGGTCAAGCTCTCGTAAACAAATATATTTTGATGTAAACATTTGTTTTCTAAAAAGTTGGGTATTTGCTATTAAAGTTACCTTGTGCATTTGTGTCAATCAAGCAGAGGTTTGTTGGCTAAATGTTTTATAAATGTTAAAAAAAATTAAGCAACCAAAAGAACATTTGATTCAAACAAGAACCAGAAAGTATGTTTAATAGAATGTCTGCCCATTTATAAATCCCTTTTAAAGAAATGACCATTCAATGGTTACTTAAAACCATCAAAATATACAGTTTCAGTTACATTAATAAATGGACCAACGTGAATAGATGAGTGCAGGCCAAGAAAGCAAATATGTTCACTCTTTGTTTCAGTGACCAGATTCAGTACCTTTTAACGATCTCATTACGTTGATTTGCGTAAAGCAAATCATGTTTTACGTTAAAAAAAAACAAAGTGACACAGTTATTAAAGGAGCTTATTTAACGTGATCGGTGCCGTGGTTTGCACTGTGAGCCGCCATGTTGAGAGCCGTTGAGACGCAACCAAAATGCTCCTCGCGTGTTAAATTTGTTAAATAATGTTATTTTTAGCAAAACAATCCACCCGCTGACCGCAGGTGTGACTCACTCCGCTGCTGCCGGGCCGCGGACAACAAGGAACGAGTTAATTAATATTGGCTCTTGTTTGGTCTAGTTAATGAACGAGTGAATTATGCACCTCTGGGACGCACCGCCTCCCCAATCGGTTTAAATTACCTCCCCCCTCCCGACATTGTCCTCCCATTTCCCCACTCTGATCCTGCGCTGATGGGGTCCCTGTCACCGACCAGCCTGCGACACGCACAGAGAGAGACCGAGGCTACCCCCGCCGTCTCCATCTGTCTGTCTTTGTCCTGCTCGAGTGTATTTTACTTCTTTGTCTCCAGCTCATTTATTGACGCCCTCTTTATTTTCCTTCTTCTTCTTCTTCTTCTTCATTCGACGCTTCTGTTCAACCTCGCATCGTCGGCTCAGGGTGGCAAATAACTTCCATCCCATTAACTCGTCTGAGAGGGGGAGGCTAGTCAAACAAAGCTTGTCCGCAATCTGATCCCGATCCAAACATATATACACGCGCGCGCACGCACACACACACGCGCGCGCGCGCGTGCACAGTCCTGCGGGTCAGAGAGGGGGAAAGAAAAAAAAAAGAGGATCCATATTATTTGCATTAAAAGCCTCGCACCGTGAAATTCATTTATAATTACAAGGCGGGGTGCGGCGTGTGTTATGCAGATCAGGGACATGTGCGCGTGTGAGTGTGCGTGAGAGTGGGTCTGCGATTGGCTCGGATTGGTTATTTTGTGATGCGCTAACACGGAATGTATGGTGACAGATTGCAATTATCCCATTATTGTAATTGTCAAAGTCAATTCACTGCAGGCTGCGTGACAGATTCTCACGTGATTTAGATCCGCTCTGTTTGACCCTTTTGCTTTTAACTCCTTAAACAGTCTCTGCTGTGACGAAGTGCTGTCTGGCCTTCACCCCAGGCTGCACCGGGGCTCTTTATTCATTCATTAAATTAAGTCATAAAACAAAACAAAAAAAGTTAAGGATCTGCTAAATGTAATAACTATTTATTTTTCATGGATTCTGAAGAATAGTTCAAGAAACTAGAGGCCAACCGGTGATTTCGTTCCCTACTGAAGTTTTAGGGTCGTTTTTCAATTGTCAATTTTAAGACGTAGAGGTTACAATATCCTCAAATGATAGCCCTGTTTTACTGTGTGATGATCCAAGTTAAACTGACCCCCCCCCCCCCCTAAAATATCTCACCGTCTCGCGCGCTGTCTGGCTCGTCCTCGTGGATCTCCAGCGCCCCCGTGTGGTGACCAAGGCAAAGATACAAAACGGTATTTAGTGATATTGTAAACAGTGATTGCAAAATAGTAAGAATACTCAAGAATATTACCAACTAAATTGACTCAAATAGTTATAATCAAAATACCAACTTGATCAACGCAGCTCCTCCAGGTTTCAGAAAATGTGTATATTCAGATTTTTCATTAGGTTGCTTTAGTAATCTTAGCGCTCAGTGGTTGCCAGGCAACCAGCTGAAAAGAGAAGTCTGCAACATACGAAAGTAGAGTATTATCGTCTCTTTGCTTTTGTTTATACAAAACGTATGTAAATTGTTCATGAGGTTTAGGTGGCGA